TTGTCCAGTTATAATTAGATTGAGGTCACTAACTGATTTCATACATAGAGGAAAACACATTGGCTACTGTTGACTTAGGCTGGAAATAAACCACTGATCTAAAATTGAAGGGTTCTGTATCCCAGCCAATTAACGATACTTTCAGAATATGTGAATTTTCCCCCTCAAATATAAAACAAACACAGTTTCATTATTTACTTTAAGCATACACATAAAAATTCACCCAGATTGCTTCAGCAAACAAGTGACTACATGGGGTGAATCTATTACTACTATCTGCCAATGGTGCAAGCAGGGGCTTCTATATTGGACTTTTCTGTAAATGTGAAGTTCCACCGGATTTAATCTGGGAAAGTTATGCCTAAGTGTTTTTTCCCCCGCAATTATGTTTCAATGTGTTCTTGTACCAGAATCCCTAAAGGATGGCCTTGTTCTATCTAGAATAAGATTTTCTACCCAGCAACTAATAATAATTTTAAAAATCACTTGTATTAAGGAGGAGCTTTGAGCACCAAATGATTTCACATTTCTAAGTAATATACTCTTTAACTCGACCCAATAACTTAATCTTTTAATGAAAGAACAACAAAAACAAAAAAGAATTTACAGCCATTAGCAAAATGTAAGGAAATGGAGACTGGAATCTAAAAATCTTAATACAACCTGTTGTTGCTGGGTAAATATCTGGAAATTATTGACCATTAAAGTGGGTATAGCATTCAAGTTAGTAGCATGAGGAAGATGAAAATGTATTGTTGAGTTGCAGCAACAAAAAACAAAACAAAACAAAAAAAAAAGCCAGTACGATCCTAGCCTGTATCAAAATAATATGTTATGAACATGACAAGGGAAATTATAGTGAAATCTGTCTTAAGCAACCACTCAAGGGACCAAAGTCAATTACTCACTGGAGGTAGCAGTTCAACACAGGTAGAGCAGAACTGAACTCTGTCTGTATGTTTGGAGATACTCTGGGGTGGTCTTCTAAAACATGCTTTGCCTAACAGAGTGGCTTTTCACACAGGTTTCACTGCACCATCGTATCATAGCAGGGTATGGAGGCACCACTTGCAGTATTATGTTATGCTACAATATTATGTCTTGGCTGTTAGAAGTTACTTTTTGGATTAAGTCCATACATTTTACTTTTAGATGTAGAATCTAGATAAGGAAAGTTTTACTTTGTCAAAATATAAACAGAACTCTACATAAGTGAGGCTGCCAGACCCATTCATTAATCATCTAGGAATCACTGAGCAATACAAGGCAGTGCCCTCTGTCTCATGTAGCAATTACAGAAATTGCTACACTTCCAGAAGTACTTTCACCATTTTATCACCAGCTATTGAAGTAAGTTTAAACAGGATCTGGGTTGATCAGATGGGTGGCTGGTGTATCATCTGAGATGTCTCATGTATGGCTAGCTTATGAAATTCTAACGCCATATAACTTACACACAAATGAGGTCATTTAAAAATCATCCAAGCTATCTCCCTTTGTGAAAGCATGTCTCTACATGTTTTTACTCCAGAAACCGATAGCCTTGTACTGTATGTATTTCATCATAGCAACTAATGAATACAACTGCTTAGCAACTTATTTAATGGGATGCAGAGGTTTCAAGTGCTAATCAAGAATAAAACTTGGATAATATTTCATTTACTACAACTACAGTTACCAGAAAAAAAAAATACACATGCTCATCTGTTTACAGTGTGTGTAGAAATCTGCAGTTCAAATATTACAGTGAAGAAAATAATTTGATATTTAAGAACCTGTATTGGAAAGAAAAGCTAGAAACAGTGTTCTGTCTAAATACATATTTTAATAATAGTTTCAATTTCATAATAAAGTTCAGAATTTTGCATTCACAAAAAAACACCTTTTTCAGTCAGCATTTAAAAATCTTCATAACTCTGGTCAGGGTAATGTTGCTGTGGAGGGGGGAAAAACCACCCCCATCAGCTTTATATGGCTCTGTGATGGCATTCCTACAAGCACAGTTATCACATTGGGGGCTGTTACTCTTGAGAAGGACATTAATGCACATGGTTCACAGGATAGATTAGAAAATAAATAATAAATAAAATAAATACCTGTTCTTCGTAGTAACCCAAAGAAGATTAAAGCCTAGGACACATAATGCCCAAATCTAAAGCAGCACTGATATAATGCTGTGTACAATTGTCTAGTGCAGACGCTTTCTAATGCCAATATTCTCTGTCCCTAGCCTTCGCCAGACCTTAAACTGCCTTACAAAGAACAAGTGAACAATAAGAGATTACGGCCACTAAAACTGTATTTGTGTTTACCTACTCAATGTATTTAATTTGTTGATGCTAGGAGCTAGGATTTAGTGAGGCCACTCGCTAATGCAAAGCTTTCAGTTGCTGATGTCAAAGCCCTGGAGGACCTTGGAACTACAATCTGAGAGTTGCTTATACTTTTCAGATATGACTTGTTAGTTCTTCTTACTATTTTCCATTTAAAAATTTTAAAGACTGAACCATTGCAGTGGGTCATTAGCATGAGCTACAATGAAAAGATATAATGAAAACGCTTTTGTGACCAGAACATGTGGATCTAGTATACAAATAACTACTGTATGTAATTCTTAAAAATATGGCATTGTTCTGTGTTTTGAGCAAAAAAAGTTTAAATCCGTTTCATATATTGATTCTCTCCTAACCATATGAAGATATTAAACTAAAATAGTGTTAAACAGAATCACGTAACCAAAATGTAAGCAGATTTTTCACTATTAAAAGTAATGAGCATATTTTTAGTAGACTGTTTTTAGAAATATCTATATTGTGTTACAGTAATTGAGGCATTTTAAATGGAATTTTAGAAACGGTCATATTTTCATCAAAAACAGGTTTCTAAGATGTCTAACATTATGAGCATTGTCTTAACAGAAAGGGTCATGTCAAAATTCACTGCAAATGTTAGCATTAACTCTCCATTGTTGCAGCGCATCAAGTTTTAGGAATGCATGTTTAAGCTTTGAGAAACAAGTGATGCTATTCAACTGAAGACCATCCCTTCACATGAAAGATATCTCAGGAAAATTCCAAACTTGCGTTATGTCACAAAAATCACATAAATAAACTGCTGAGAGTACTTCTATGTGAAAGTACACAAGACCCACCTACATTTAAATTACTCCTTGTTTCCTTAAATATTTAAGTCTTCCTAGTCAGGCTGACAGTTAAGCTTCATTTCTAAATTAGCAAGACAGACAGTCCCCTCAGACTCTCCAGTCTGTGATTCTATGTTAAGACTGGTATAGTGACCCAGGAGTTCACATTTGTTACTGGCTTGGTGAAATCTAATTATAGAATATAACACCAGTTTTGGGGTGTCTGCCCTGTTTTCCAACAGTCTTCCCTGAAGTAGGCACTCATGGTCATGAGCCACTTCGGACAGCATGACACCTTCATTACAGCTCACCTACAGTATTCTGTTAGCTGTAATATTATTTTAACAAAAAACTATGTTAGTGTAACACCAGTGGGTTTTTTGGTTTGCTTTCATTTTAATTTTTTTATAATTAATCCCCAATTCATCCCTGTATACCGCCACTGAAGTGCATTGATTAACACCAGGGATGAATTTCACTCATTATTTCCAAAGTAGTTGAAACATAGGGACCTCAATTAATTTGGAACTGATGGAGGAGTTTCCGGCTAGTGATGAAATTCACTGAATAGAAATATGGAACTCATCACAACAAATGAGCACAAGAAATCACATTCCAACCTACAGTCAACTCTACAGCAACATTTCACATTTTCCTCTTCAAACATATGCAGGTTTGAAGCAGTGAAAGTGGTATTAGCTATGATAAAACTAGAAAAGTATTAAAATGTTTTTGACTTAAGACATTACAAAATCATAGAATAAAACTCCTCTAACCATATTGGGGGAAGAGAGAGAATAAGCATGCCTCAGATATTAAGATCTATTATGGGCTATATTTTCCAACCACAACATTTGATTATCTCACCTGGAAAGGGATACATTTTTTCCTTATGAGTTAGTAACTGCGGTCAGGTGATACAGGAGTGAAACTCTATATAGCTAATTATACCACAAAATACTTCTAATTTTAAAAATAGAAAAGTATGAAAAAACCCTCATAACTGGAATACAAAAGTTATATACAGATAGAGTGTTAATTATGATGACAAAATAGTTATTTAGCATGCAATGGAATTCCATGTTAAATTAAATGGAGAGCACTCCCCCCCCACCAAAAAAAGTCTTGCACAACACATTTGACACAGACAAATTAAAACTCAGAATAATGAGATAAAAACCCCAAACAAAACTCCCAACAAAAATGCTGGAAATACATTTTTACATTTACTGTGAAAACATTTGTTTTGATGAAAGCATTGTTCTAGTTAAAATATTAAGCTACTGAGCAAGTTCTTGACTAAAATATAAGAGGTCAGAAAGTTCATATGTGGTGCAGTTTTTGTCTCAGTCTTTAAGAAAATCTATTTATAAATTCCTCATGAAATAAGGTCACCAATAACTCAACACACTGCAATCATGGAGTTTTAAATTAATTACATTAATTTCTTGATGGAGCCTTGTATATTGCTACAATAAAAGATTTAAGATTATTTTTGCATTTTTGTGGGTTGTGACTAAATTACCAACATTTTTACCATCTTACCTTGAACAAAGCTCTAGATAGCTGAAGTGCTGATATATGACACAACCCATGAGAAAGCAAAAACATATCAAGTAACTCTTTATTATGTACAAAATATGGCAGCCTTAAGCATCTTATTCCTGTAATATAAAGTAAGTATATTTAAAGTGTAATTACACTAGTATACACAAGAGCTACAAGATATGAAGTTAGCCAGATTTAAGCCTTGATGCACTCAGTGTAATGTAATGAACCACAATAAAGTCTATTGGTTAATTTATCCGTAATCCCAGTTATAGTCTAATTTGGTTCTTCACTCAGATGCTATATTTACCTGTGTTTATTTCCTCGGCTATGTGTATAGCTTCCCCATGCACAACTTGATCCAATATCTCAGAAAAACGCTCTTGGATTTCGCCAGCCGTTTCATCTCCAAATTTATAATCACACAGCATCACATTTGATCCAGCAATGGAGGCAAACACTCTGTGAGGCAAGGCATGAAACTCTCTCTCAGAATCTAGCAAGAAAGGGAAATCCATACAAAAACTTGTGTAGCTGTGGTAAAGACATTTCAATAATCAGCATACATTATACAAACAGTTGTAAACAGGACTGTCCAAGGCATCATGTAAAAGTCTGATTTCAAACATTTCCAGCCTAATTGTTACTGTTTCATGTAAGTTCTAGACACTTATATTTGTAAATGGAAATTATATTCCTACTAACTAAAACTTTTCATATATTTTTTCACATAACACTCTTCAGTGGTCCTTAGAAATAGCCAAACGACCTTAAAAATTATTCTGAATTGAAAATGTTGACCAGGCCCTTTATCACTTTAGAAATGATACAAAGAGCACTCTCAGGAAGGTTGGAGATAAAGGAATTGATGCATGTGCCAAACAGTACACAATTTCAGCATCATAAAGGATATCAAACAATTAGTTATTGTTTTATGTAGTTAACAGCCATGGAGTACAAGTGCCACCTAAAGAGAGAATGGAAAACTGCATGCAAATGATAAAAGCTACTCCTGCCATATTCCCCATTTTGGATAATGTTAGCTAAAATAATATTTACAATGAGTTTATTTCTCAGTACACATAGCACCATAAACATAACTTAATGTCATCTAAAGTAGATGAAGACGACTATTTGTCAGCATTCAATTTTCCTTTCAGTTACTCAAACAGTTACTCTTTATGTTTTAAAAAAAACAAAACAAAAAAACACACACACACCCAAAACATCACAAGACATTTTCCTCCTCTCCAACATAGCAGATCTTAGGTAGGAGAAAATAACATTTCACACAGCTGATCACATTGCGTTTGTCATTTTAAAACATTCCTTTAAAATTATTATAGAGTATGAAGGATAATGAATGGATATAAACTGGCCATTAGGAAGTTTAGACTTGAAATTAGACAAAGGTTTCTAACCATCAGAGGAGTGAAGTTCTGGAACAGCCTTCCAAGGGAAGCAGTGGGGGCAAAACACCTATCTGGCTTCAAGATTAAACTCGACAAGTTTATGGAGAAGATGGTATGATGGGATAACATGATTTTGGCAATTAATTGATCTTTAACTATTCGTGGTAAATAAGCCCAATGGCCTGTGATGGAATGTTAGATGGGGCGGGATCTGAGTTACAACAGACCATTCTTTCTTAGGTATCTGGCTGGTGAATCTTGCCCACATGCTCTGGGTTCAGCTGATTGCCATATTTGGGGTTGGGAAGGAATTTTCCTCCAGGGCAGATTGGAAGAGGCCCTGGGGGTTTTTCGCCTTCCTCTGCAGCATGGGGCACGGGTCAGTGCTGGAGGATTATCTGCACTTTTAAGTCTTTAAACCACGATTTGAGGACTTCAATAGCTCAGATAGGTGAGAGGTTTATTGCAGAAGTGGGTGGGTGAGATTCGGTGGCCTGCATTGTGCAGGAGGTCAGACTAGATGATCGTAATGGTCCCTTTGGACCTTAATATCTATGAGTCTGATGGATAACTTAAGCATGAACCAACTGAGATAGTATTGGTATACTAATTTGGTTTCACGGTTTGTAATTATATTAAGATACAAAGTTCACTATTATGGAGAATAAATGTATGTAGTGAAAACAATTCTGGCCTTGAAATTAATACAAGCCCAGATAGCCTTGCAATTCATTCAATATGCTGAGCTGACATGCAAGATACATACCTTTTCATTTAAATGTAAAGTGAATTTTGTATATTATATATATGAAACCTCAGAGGTGAAATACTGGAGACTAACACTACATGGGCTACATTTGTACATCTGGATAGGAGCATAACAATTCCCATACTGGTTCAGACCTGAGGTCCATCTAGTCCAGTATCCTGTCTCTAACAATGGTCAGCATAAGATGCTTTAGAGGAAGATGTAAGACTCCTGCTGCAGGCAAATGTGGTATGGTCTGTCCTGCATGTTAGGTCTCCCCCAAATCCCTAATAGTTAGGATATGGATAATTCTTTTTTGAATCTTGCCAAATTCGGTATATTGTTTATTTCCCTGTTGGGTGTGGACATCACAAAAATAATTGGCTGATTCTGACTAAGTGTCAAAGCCCTTCTGTATTTGAGATCTTGATGCTGAGTCCATGACTATGGGGTACTGTACTGAGGGTCAACTATGCCAAGAAGGGAATAAAGTGGAAGTTTAATTTACACTCGGGGCAAGAAGGTATTTAATAAACATTATGGGGGAAAATGCAGGCCAAAAGTACAATGCCTGAAGTTGAACGAAATCCTTCTGAAGTGGACAGCTGAAAAAAGAGGCAAAGGAGTGACAAGTACAATTTATGCTGCCTGATACACTTTTGTTTCCCTCTAACTACACCCAGATTTCAGTATTTCAGATTGAATCCTGATGACTATCAGTAAGGAACTCCAGGAAAAAAAAAGGCAAATTACATTAGAAAAAGATAATTTGCTTTCTTCTCTAGTCTCCTACTTTTTTTGGCAGGTGCCTCATTTATAATCAGATCTTCAAACAATATTTCACAACGATCAGAGAGTGTGTTTATTATATCCCTCTTCAAAGCCTGCAAGGACAAAACAAAAAACACACAATAAACACAAATACCTTGCAAACTAGCTGACGTGGTGATTCCCAAGAAACAACCATAGTAAAAAAAAAAAAGTCTCAGTTTGTCCTGTGCATTTAGGCCAACTTAACCATGATATGCATTAACAAAATCAAAATATAAAAAACAGGAATAAAAAAAAAAAATGCCTGACAAAGGGAACCTAGTACCAAAAAAACAAAACTTTCCCCTTCAGTATCCTACCATAATAACAACAAATCATCAAGAAGTGTGATTTTATTATTATCTGCTTGTTTTAAATACGCTTCAATATTGAAAATAAGCATATGATCAAACTCAGGAGACTGGGTTATGTTCTTGGCTCTACAACAGATTTCCTTTATCTTCTTGGCCAAGTTACAGGCTCTCTTTAAAACTTTCCTAATCCCACAATGATTTTAAGAGACCTAATTCATTAATGTCTGAACGGCTTGGCACGCCACACACAAAGCTGCAATAGAATAATTAGGCTATCGAGACAAATACTGCTCTCACATATGCTGCTCCTCCATTAAAAACCACTCCCTCCACTGAAACTAATCAGAGTACAATATAGCCCGTCACTATAACTGGTCTGTTAAATAAAACTGTTTTATGCAGTTAGGAGGTTTCCTAAACATAATAGAAGTTATCTGTTTATGGTGCTTTAGTTATGCAAAATGCTAGTTTGATTTTAAAAAGGTGTTGCCAATCAAAAGTTAGTAATGTTAAATTTATAAAACCTGCTTCATCAAGTCACAATATTCTCTGTTGCGTTATTGATTTTTATGTATTTTTGTTATGAACATTATGAGTGAAATCTTGTCTGCATTAAAGTCTGTAAGAGTTTTGCCAGTGTTCAATGGTGCTTGAATTTTATCCTTTGTCTTTAGTTTGGCTATGTCTACGCTAGCTCCTTTTGTCGGTATATCTTATGTCACTCAGTATTTTTATATGAAAAAACACCCTTCTGAGTGACGTAAGTTACACCAAGAGAAGCGCCGGTGTGGACAGCGCTATGTCAGCGGGAGACACTCTCCCACCGACATAGCTACTGCCGCTCGTTGGAGGAGGTTTAATTACGTCAATGGGACAGCTTTCTCCCATCTGCATACAGCAGCTACACCGCTGTAAGGTCTCTACTGTAGACATAGCCTTACTCACTAACAGAAATGGGAGATTATATGCACAATTTCAAAACATGTGGTCTGTTACCATGCAGAAGGTTGCAACATGGAAAAATACTGACTGTCATGTTCAGTACTTTTTTGGACAATATTAGAAGTGCAGCAGGACAACAGAAAAGATCACTTTGATTTAGAAGTACTACTCCAAATACATTTCAAAAGAGTAACTGGAGTACCTAATCTGCCTACATTTTTCCTCTGGCAAGTACAAGAATACGTAACATACAGAAGTCATTCCTTTAATTTTAAGAAAACTTTACACCAAGCATTACCACCACTAGACTAAGAGTAAGTTAGGATTTCTTAGGAGGACAAAAACAACACTAGTAGAGATCTAAAATGAACTGCTTCTAAATAAAATTAAAAACTTTTTGAAGAATTTATTTTCTTGAACAATAAAGAGGACTTCTAAAAATTCCAAACTATCACTCTAGCTGTCTGGAGTTCAGACCTCTATTATCCCACCAAAGGCAAATGCAGAACAATAATTTTAGGGTTCTAGTAAAATATTTGGGAAAAGCAATGAAGGAGAGTGCATTCAATACCTGAATAGCATCTTTAACTTTTGGCTTGTTATTATGGATGTAAGCTCTGCATTTCACAGCACCTTTAAGATTAATGGAACCACGGCAGACTTGCACCATTGCTGCAGATCGATGGCCTGAACTCTGGGACTGAAAAATAAACACATTTCAATTATAATGTTAGCTATGCATCTGCAATATGGTCAGTCATGAAGCCACTACAAATTTCAATTAACAGCACTTAAACATTTTAAGTACTTGGTAAAATGTGTGTTATTCTCCTCTCGCAGTTAATACCTTTTAGCAAGTAACTTAAACATGAAGCTCCATCTTAATAGTTTTGTCCTTTTCCAGTTGGTAAATTCTTTAAAATTTGCTTTTCCAGGAACTTATAATTTCTTGCAATTAATGTATTTTATGTTTACTTCTCATCAGCATGCAAATAGACATCAATGGTGATGCTAGCAAGGTTGTGAAAATAGCTCCCTCAGCTTGTTTTTGAAGTTTGGTCACCACTGTTTTAACTGAAAATAAAATTAATTCTATAGCCCTAGAATGTGTAAAATGCTTACATTATTTTTAAACAGCCTGTTGCTAATATGAATACAGTATCTTCCCAGTAACCTCCCTTGTACACTACTTTTTGAAGCCTTTTTTTTAAGTGACAGAAAGTTTGTCTACTTACTGTATTAGTAAGTATAATCTAGAATATCTACGTTGTGTTGTTTGAGTATTTTTCTTAAAGCAGAATCATCCACCAGTTCTATAATTAATTAGGAAGACATTTTTATCTGGTTATATTTGGAACTAGATCAAAGCTAATATCCATGGAGTCCTTACCCTATTTTAGGGCAAACTATAATGTTTCTGTGGCAAGAGGGAGACCATTATGGAAATCCCTTCAGTCCGATATTCTCCTTTGACTATCCCAAAGATGTTCACAGAACAATTAGCGATTCCAGTATAAACAGTACTGTCGGAGACCAATAGTTTGACTGTAAACATCTGCCCTTTGCACAGAGCATAAATGGGCATCTCTCACAAGAAAAATAAACTTACATTATTACTATTTTGATTAAATTTAAAGAGGTCATGAACTTTGTGTAACCTTCAACAGGCCAGTTGGGCTCTGATCACACAAACTATTTGAAATAAGATGCTTTTTTGCACTTTTTTTTTTGGTGAGTAAATTAAACCTCTGAAACAACTCAACTAGGAACATCACCTATAGTCTTTAAAATCAGAATTGGATGTCTGTCTTCTAAAATAGTGGTTCTCAACCAGAGGTACACGTACCCCTGAGGGTACTCAGAGGTCTTCCAGGAGTACATCAACTCATCTAGATATTTGCCTAGTTTTACAACAAGCCACATAAAAGCACAAGTGAAATCAGTATAAACTAAAATTTCATACAATGATTTGTTTATACTGCTCTATATACTATACACTGATATGTAAGTAAATATTTATGCCCCAATTGTATAATTATATGGTAAAAAGAAAGTAAGCAATTTGTCAGTAATAGTGCACTGTGACACTTTTCTATTTTTAAGTCTGATTTTGAAAGCAATTAGTTTTTAAGTGAGGTGAAACCTGGGTGTATAGAAGACAAATCAGACTCCTGAAAGGGGTACAGTAGAAAAGGTTGAGAGCTGCTGTTCTAAAAAACATATGTGCTCTAGCTCAACCAGAAGGTATGGGCTTGAATCAGAAACCACTTGATAAAAATGCTATGGTCTGTGTTACACAAGAGGTCAGACCATAGATGAGCACAATGGTCCCTTCTGGCCTTAAGATCTGTAAGCCTTTTTTGTGCAGGTGAACCCATATAGCCACACAAAGCCCCACTGAAATAAATAGAGCCTGGTAGGTGCAGGATTCTGCCCAACATGAGCAGTTTACAGAATTTAACATCTCTAGGCCTCAGTTTCCCTCCCCTCCAACTATACTGTATGATCCTCAGGTGCTCTATCAGGACCTGATACTTCCACTGAAGTCAATAACAATAACTTGGATAAGTCCCTACATACCAGAATTATATTAATTTGAACAAGAAACCAAACCTATAGTGGGGAGGAGTTGTTAAAAAAGACATTTTCAATTTTTACGTCATGCCCCTATTTTAGGCTAGGCATCTGAGAATAAAGCTTTATGCAATACTGCACTTAACCTTACTGGCATTTTCTACACACAATGCTTACCAATTGTGTCAGAACCTTCACATCAAAGGGTTGAATACGGTGTTGAATATTTCCTCTTGAAGACTTTTTCTGAGATAAAAGGAGAAAATGGTATATGAAATATACAGATCACACATCTGTATCTACCATACCGAGGTGCTCCACTGGCCTCTAGCACCGTAGTACCAGTTTGTAGATTTTAGAAAGAAAATTGAGATATAGAAACCACCTTAAGGACACAGTTAATAAAAAGTTAGGAATCTTTGGAAAAATTTAGTAATAGTGGTTTTAGTACCAAAAAAAACTGCACAGTTTTAGATGATCTCATTAAAATCTTCTTGAGTGGCTCACTCTTCACCTCTAAAAACTGCAACAGAAATAAAGCTGTTGAAGTCACCCATAAAAGTCAATCTAATCTTCAGCATATGGGCAGAATTCTTATACACCAGTCCTCCCTAACTTATCCTTCTTTTTACTACTTCTACAATCATCCCTTTTTTGCTTCAAGGACAGGTGGAGAATAGGCAGCAGGTTTAATGCAAGCAAAAGGAAGTATCTCCTCAGACAATGCACAATCAACCTGTGGAACTCTCTGTCAGAGGATGTTGTGAAGGACAAGACTATAACAGGGTTCAAAAAAGAACTAGATAAGTTGATGGAAGATAGGCAGGGATGGTGTCCCTAGCCTCTGTTTGCCAGAAGCTGGGAATGGGCGACGGGGAATGGATCACGTGATGATTACTTGTTCTGTTCATTCCCTCTGAAGCACCTGGCATTGGCCACTGTTGGAAGACAGGATACTGGGCTAGATGGACCTTTCATCTGACCCAGTATGGCAATTTTTATGTAAGAGAAAAGCAATCCTTTATATTAATTACATGGCACATGCCAGTTAGAAGTAAAATATTCTACAGAAGACCTTTCAGCCACTAATATTACCATACCAGACATTTTGAGTGACACATCGATATTAATTCTACACTATACAGCACACACCTGCCCTTCCAATAGCTCTGTGTCATCTTCTTTAGCTTGCCCGTTGATCAGGAAAACACCTTCCTCTATCTGTTTTGCCCACCGGGTTAATCCGTTCTTTAAAAACCAAAAAACACAGAAAGATTGTAAGTATATATTTTGAGAAGAAAGCTTCTCTAAAAAGAAAAAGAAAAGGAGTACTTGTGGCACCTTAGAGACTAACCAATTTATTGGAGCATAAGCTTTCGCATCCGATGAAGTGAGCTGTAGCTCACGAAAGCTTATGCTCAAATAAATTGGTTAGTCTCTAAGGTGCCACAAGTACTCCTTTTCTTTTTGCGAATATAGACTGCTACTCTGAAACCTCTAAAAATAAACTACACTTTTGGTTGAATATTGCCACAAAACCCACCAACACTCCAAAACTACTGTAATGCACGTTTAAATTAACCAAAGAAAGACATTAAATCCTAACCAAATTTCAGACCTCTCATCCATCTGCATTATACTGATAGACAACATACTACTCACAATACACCTCTTAATCTACATTTCCTAAAGTAAATAGAAATATTAATTTTAATCTTTATTGGCCTAAATATAAAGCTAATTTGCATAACCACCTATATGGAAGACATGTGGATTTTGTTTTTCCATAAGATGGGGTGGGGCTTATTAATAGTGAATGGGCAATGAGAGCACCCCATTTTCAAATCCTATCAAAACCAGACCCTGCATCAAATGAAGAGAAAAAGGAAAAGATGTTATCTTCTTTACACACTCCTAAAAATGTCTCTTAATAATTTAAATAAAATAAATACAGGAAAATAAAAATCTTGAAAGATTTCTCTCCTTATGCTTTTTTATGCTTAATGCAGCAAGTGAGTTGTGCATAAGGAACTTATTACCTTATAGATTTAACTGCCAGTTACAAATCATTAATTCTATTCCCCTACCTACTCCATATTTTCATAACACATTATTCATTTCTAAGCAGTACAATTGTATGTACAATATTAAAGGAGTAAGCAATAGTGTATTGTTATTGTTTAGTTACCCTAGTATTTTTCTCTAGTTCATAGCTGACTGATGTAGCAGAAAGTGGAATGTGGATATTAACATTAATTGTGCATTCCAAGGATAGCCAGAAGGCAGACAGGCCACTTTGGTACTTCCAGTCTGCTGGCTTAGGTGAACTCTGGGAGGAAAAGACAGGGTTTTATTTTTAAAATGTGGTAAATATAATGGCTTAATACAATATTACAAATGTGAAATAAAATCTATTTCTTCTGAACTTTATAAATCTTACATACAGTAGTCAATCTTACCTTTGGATCTTGCATATCATAGGTTCGACAAAGTATCCTTTATTAATTAAGGAAAAAATTCAGTGAAATATGCTTAAAAGGAATAAAAACTAAGGAACAAAATAAAAAACAAATATTTTAAATTAACCTATAATTTATCATTTACGTTCACTATCTTCTTATTTTCCAGAGCCAAGTTTTTAATATTGTAGAGAATGTTCTCACACTGATGGGAATAAAAAAAAAAGTTTCACCTGTAAACTACACGTATTACAGAAATGATGTGCCTGCCTTTCAAATATGTATCAACACTGATTAGCTATTCATATGGATAGCTAATCAATCAATGGTGATATGTATTTTACACTTGCAAACCCTGATGTCTCCCATACTTCTCTAGAATTGTGCTCTCTCTCTCTCCTGGCCTCCTCCAGAGCAATACTTCTCCCCCATCAAACTGCTGAGCCCCAGTTCTCCATGATCCTCACCTGCACAGCTATTTCACTGACTTACAACATTCTTCCCACCATGCCTGTTACTTCCCCATCATAATCAACCTTTAAACTATTTTTTATTATTACAATTGCAAGTTACAGTGCCACAGAGAAAGACATCAGATGTTATTTTGGGTGCCTTTGATATTTAAAACAAGAACATCACTTTTACAAATTAAACGTGGGAGTGAAGTAGCGGGGCATTGTGAGAAGTAGCAATATGCACAGAGAGTGCAAGGGAAAACCTGAAGATGCTGCTGGGAAGAGGCTCTCCTTTCTGATGAGCCATAAGTGGTTCATTAAAATAGATCTCCACTCCCTTGTGCTTCCCCATCCAGGCCCCTCCCTGCTGATCACCCTCTTTTTCCCTCAACTTCCTTCCACCAGTAGAAACCCCTATATCTTTATCCTCATTCTGAACAAGTGTATAGCCTTCAACTCCGACAAGAAATATAATACAGAATGGAAATCTGTGTGCACTAGTGTAACTTCTACATGAAAACTACCACCAAATGAGTTTTATATGAAAGGGTGATCTCTAACAGAAAAACATTCTACATTTACTATCTGCAATCAGACACCATACCTCACCTACTTACATGCATCATACAAAAATTAATATAATGTAATTTACCAAGGACACACCAACCCTACAATCAATCAAAATGCATGACCATATAACCAGTAAACATGCTCAAAGTTATGGCTGCACGTGGTTGAGCAGAGTGAAGGTGGAGAATGTGGTCTGTGAATAGTGGAAGGACAGTAACTGAGCTTGAGCAGGGGAACCGATAAATTGAGTGCAGAGTAGATGCCTTGCTTTTTATGATATGCGTTGTTGGAATATCCATCCTAGCAACCCTTGACACAAAGGCAATAAAGATTTTTGGGTGGCAATAAGTATACAGTTAGACCAGACAGATTAGATAGATCCTGCACTATATTATATTTCAATACACTGTATCAAAAGACATTATATTTTTGCTATAGAAGGATACTTCTTTGTAGCAGAACAAAGATGAAGAGCCATTCTGTCAGAGACCTCCTCCTCAGTAAAACTCCAGAGCCTCTTTTTAACTACAGACTTTTCTACTGAAAAAACTAGCTGAAGAAGAAGGAAAAGAATGTTATGGGATTTTTCTTCATAGCACAAACAAAAATTAATGCAAGTAGTTATTGTTGCTGAAAACAGCGCTGTATTTCAGTTTTAAAACAAAACAGCATGTCAGTTTTGCTACAAGTCAGTTTCTCAGCTGTATAACACTTTGTAATAGAACCAAAACGGGAATATTTGCAAATGCACAGGCTGCAAATATACAAACTGAAACTGATGGAAAGATTTGTGCAAACCCTTGGGAACGGTCACTGCCACTCTGATGCCAGCATCCATTTTCCAAGGACCTTATGGCTTTTAATTATAATCTAACATAAAATCTGACAGTCTGAAGGTTGGCTCATCTCAGATCATCCCATTTTCAGATGGTACAGGAACTAAAAATACGTGGTTTTAAGTTAGGCTGGTGCCGCTGTTAAATGTCTGAAACATCACATATGAAAGACTCAAGTGCTGGAGAGGATGTTAATGAAAATATCTAATATGTAGACTTTACATTGAACAGCATCTTTCTGTACATGCTACAGTACAAAGCAGCACAACCACTATCACACAAATCTTCAAAACAAAAACAAATCTACTGACTTAAGTTCATTTTGCACTTTTAAAAAAACCCTTCATAGACTTGTTCATGCCCCGCTCATAGACCTGGTTTCTTTCTTCACCTTCCTCTTCTCAGTTCCTCAATACAATCTGACTTTATTCCCTGCAGCTTCTGATATTTGTAACAGCTTTCTCATATCTCTCCATCTCATCAACTCTCTCTTCAGACCACATCTGAAAACTTAAAGTCTCATTTGCCTCCACATTTCCAGTTCCCACTTCAAACCATTTAACTCTGTGAGACAATTTGGAAGACAGTTGGTATGAAAAAGAAAATACATCAAATAAAGTTATATAATAATAACAGAGATGAACGAATTACTCTTATTTTGTCTTTTGCCACATCTTAGGTAAGTTATCTACACAAGTATCTGTCCCAATATTGAGTAACAATCATAATGCTTCCACTGATATATAGTGATGATCACTTTAGATAAGCTATTACCAGCAGGACAGTGGGGTGGGAGGAGGTATTGTTTTATGATCTCTGTGTGTATATAAAGTCTGCTGCAGTTTCCACGGTATGCATCCGATGAAGTGAGCTGTAGCTCACGAAAGCTCATGCTCAAATAAATTGGTTAGTCTCTAAGGTGCCACAAGTACTCCTTTTCTTTTTACTAATATATAGGTTACTATAAGTGGGACTGGTAGCACTGCCCCATATAAAAGCTGCCCCACACCACCCATTTTAAGAGCTTCTTTTCAGTTGCTTATAGCTTTGTCAAGCTTCAACCACTGGGACTGAAATTTTATATGCCTGGTGTCTGCCTCAGGCTGAATATTTTTTTTGAAAAATTTTAGTCAAAATGGTTACAGATCTTTTCAAGAATAATGTTGTTGAAATATATATAGTTTTGCCCATGTTGAAAAATTCAAGCAATCTTTTACTGCAAACCATTTATCTGGTATATTTTTGGTTTCTGTTTCAGATAATCCAGTTAGAAAATTACTCTGCTGCATAAATTAAAAAAAAAAAAAAAAAAAAAATCCAGCTCCTTCCTGTGGACATTATCTACCCGCTTACCTTGCGCAAAGCATTTTGGATGTCTTTTGCCAGTTCTGGAGCTGCAACAATAAATACACCAAGAACTAGCAGTCCTCCAGGGAGCATTCTAGACAACTTACAAAATAAACAGAAAAGCAAATTATTAATTACTATTATGATTATAAAGTTCTATAAACTATATCACTTGGTTTACTATTTTTTTTTTAAAAGGTATTGGAACACAGATGTAGAATAAACTGCAAGACTAAAATTAGCAAGGCTATTTCTCAACTTCACAATCCCTTAATTTAAAAATACTCTATTCTTCCATTTTATCATCATATATTTCATGCAAGTTTTGTGCTCAAAAACTATAGAGCCACCTGCATTTTTGGAAAAGACTACTTTTTAATATTGGTTGTAGTCGTGTAAGGTTTTGATCAATTAACAAAATCAGTGCCATCAAAGGACTCATGAGAAGACTCTTTTATGCATAAAAATTAGGATTTGAAGTTCAGAAGAATTTCAAAAACTTATTTCTTACAATAAGTATACATCTTCTGAAAGTGTTTTACCTGACTAGCATGTGCTGTTACCCATTCTTCATCAATGTCAGCCAATTTTGGATGATAATTTTTGTTGCTTTCATTTTGCTCTTCTCTTGGAGGTGTTCGAATAGCCAGAATCACATAATCTCTTTGTGGGGAACACTTTAGGGGGGAAAAACAAAAGAAAACAAAACAAAACACAAAAGACTATCAGGTTAGTATCGATTTTAAAAGAAAATCACAGTGTAATATATAGCACATTTTGAGCTGCTGTGTAGTTCATCTCTATAATGCTCCAGGTTTTGGGGTTCGTTTTTTTTTAAAATCGCACATGGAAATATTTTCTCTCCCTTGTCTTTAACTCTTAAATGAGCTCAAAGAGGTAAAATTTAGCTCTAAACAACATTATTTAGAAAACGTAAGTCTAATAGAGGTTTGGCTTTGGTTTTTTGGGTTCCCCTCCCCCAGACAAAAACACTCCCTTGCGGTGCTTGCAACCCAAACACTGCAGTACTGTGCTGGTGCAGGACAACCTCTAAGTGAAGTTTACTAGATTGTTAATGAAAATGAATAGTCTATTTTCATTTCCCAAACCTAGAGAAATAAAAAAAAAAAGTCAACAATGTAAGTAGCGGTAAGTGATTTTCTTTTAAAAACTCTCCGTTTTTAATAATCTCAAAAGTAACTGGTGATAGTAAAAAGTTGTAGAAATAAGTTCTATTACTTGAGAAGCAACATATCATGTAATTAAAGAGATTATTATGCTCAGTGCATCATTTTAAAAGTCTCATAACTCTAGTTTCCTCATCTTTCAACACCTCACCGATTTACGTGCAAGGCTGTTCAAAACACAGTTCACCCCCCCCCCCCCCTGCAAAAAGTATAATGGGAGCAAATACCCTTGCTCACCCAGATACTCTCCTTGTGCTCTATGGGTACGTCTATACTGCAATCATGGGGTGTGACTGCAACTTGTATGGACATACCTGAGGTTTAATCTAGCTAGCTCAGGTACCAGAGCAGAGAAGCCATAGCAGCATGGGTAATTACTAGAGTGGCTAGCCTGCGCTAAAGCCTGTGCTGTCACAGTTTCTTTGCTTCGGTACCTGAACTAGCTAAATTAAAGCTCGGATACGTCCATAAGAGTTGCAATCAAAGCCCATGATACCGATATAGACATATTCTAAAACTACGATACAATTTTCCCACCACTTCAAAAGACAAAATAAGGTCATCTTTGGCCAGAAATCAAGCATTGTACATTTCAGAGAGATCGAAGTGAGAACAGAGGCTTAGATTATACCGGATTATTCAAATTTAACAATGGCAGTTGCTGCCTCTACCAGCAAAGTACACACAATGACCCGCAAATTTGATGCTGTCTATCCTTCACATAAGTCTGTAATGAAGATTTATGTATAATATGTATGTATAATATCTTCGATAGTTATCAACTTTATTGCTGAATCCTCTGCAGTATATGAACTTCAAGTGGAACAGAAATGGATGCAGATTGGAACACTTTTCCTAAAGGTGAGCAGACATGCCGTGTCCTTAAAAGCACTAGTGTAAAGAATGTAAAGCATCAGGACATCAGAACAACCAGAAGCTGGCCAAGAACACAACTTAGAGGGCTGCAATTTTTTTCCAAGAGGATTCTAATTTGTTCCATGAAGAAAATGAACAAGACCACTAACCCGAGATCCAGAAAGAAGAAATAATCTATTTATACAATCTATTAATTGTATTGCAATGGCAGCTAGAGCAGTTGTTTTCAAACTGCGGGTCACGATCCAGTACTGGGTTGTGGAATGTAAGGCACTGGGTTGCAGTGGCTCTGCTCAGCACCGCCAACCGGGCCATTAAAAGTCCCATAGGCAGTGTTGCCCGGTTAAGACTGTTCTGACACTGCACTATGCCCTGGAAGCAGCCAGTAACAGGTCCAGCTCCTTGGCGGGGAGGCCATGGGGCTCCGCGCACTGCCCCCGCCCCGAGCACAGTGCCTCAACCTAGGAGCTGGACCTGCTGCTGGCCGCTTCTGCAGTGCAACGCAGTCTGCAGTGCCAGGAAAGGCAGGAAGCCTACCTTAGCACCCCTGCTGCACTGCTGACCAGGAGCCGCCAGAGGTAAGCCTGCACCCCAACCCCCTGCTCCAGCCCTGACCCCTCCCAAACCCAGAGCTCCTTCCTGCACTCCAAACCTTCATCCCTGGCCCCAGCCTAAAGCCCTGACCCCCGCCCACACCCAAGCCTCTGCCCCAGCCGCCCCACAAACCTGGAGCCCCCTCCTACACCCTAACCCCCTCATCCCAAGCCCCACCCCAGAGCCTGCCCCTCAGCTCAGAGCCATGACTCCCTCCTGTGCCCAAATCCCCTGCCCCAGCCCTGAGCATGCTCCTGAACCTCAAACTCTTCATCCTCAGCCCCACCCCAGAGCCTGCACCCCCAGCCCTGATCCCCTCCTGCACCCCAACCCCCTGCACCAGCCCAGAGCCTCTCCCACACCCTGAACCCCTCATTCCTAGCCCCATTCCACAGCCCTCACGCCCAACCCCAACCCTCTGCCCCAGCCCTGAGCCTCTCCCCCCTCATCCCGGCTCTGTTGGATCGTGGGCATCAACAATTTTCTTCAACTGGGTCGCCAGAAAAAAAGTTTGAAAACCACTGAGCTAGAGGATCCAGTCAGAGACCAACACCCCATTGTGCTAGAGACGATACATACAATTTTTTTAAAAAGGGCAGTCCCAACCCAAAGAGTGTACATTTGAAACATATGATGAGGCAACAGGCAGAGAAAAAAAAAACAGAACAAATAGGAGAAGGACAAGGTGACAATGAAAAAACAACAGATTATTAGTTTAGGGCATGACAAATGTGGGAGAAATTAAAATGGTAACATATATTGTTACGTTAATTATTCACAAATATATAAAAAGTGACACTAAAAAGATCTGTTTACATAAGCAGACACTTTTAAAAAGAGTTGCTTTAAAAGTCATTGTCAAATAACTCCAGTGTGTTCTAGATCCCTCCAAATATTAATGACAAGACACATTTTCAGTGACAGTTGAATGGCTGGTAACATTTGCTGTCTGTCATTCTATTACAACTGGGTTTCACATTGATAGCAAAACATGAATGAAAATACAGAACAGAAATGGGAGATCAAGAGTCAAAATGTTGCTACTATCACCTTCACAGTCTCATTTCTACTATATGGTTTAATACCTGAAGATATATTCTCACTTCAATACATGCATGCAACTCTTAACTATATTCCAGACTACTTGGGAACACAAGTTTGAAATGCAGCAGTGTTATTTAAGCCCTTAATTCTTTTGGAGGTGCATAAATGTAGTTTCATGCCATTTACTGTATCTTTCAGACAAGATTTCAAAAACAAAGTCTCTAAGTGTTCAGCGGGTACCATGGAAGCTTTTATAAGCATATGGTTTTGCCCTTATGTCCTTTGTCAAAATATCCCCTTCCTGTCTCATACAAGTTGAACATTAAGGTTACGGGTTTGATCCTACACCATTAAAGTCAATGGGAGCAGGATCAAGTCTGTAGCTTGATACTGATGTAGCGTGCAAAACTGCTCAAGTCACTAACACAGGTTCTTCACCCTAGCGTCTACATAAAGAAGTGTTACCTTTGAATACAGATTACAAACCCTATATGAACATAGTGTTAATTTGAGTTACACATTCACCTTACAGAAGCCTATTCACTTTCATATAGATTTAAACACTTACCTGCCCTATCAACAGGCCAGTGACACAAGCCTTTGGCTTGGTGCTGAAGTCTGAAAGATACTGTCCAACAGCTTCTTCCACAAAATAGCTTCTGCCCATTACTGCAAGTTTAGTCTAATTTACATCTATAAAAAGAAAATATATTATTCTACCTCTACAGGTACTTAACCCGAGAACATAAGGCATAGCACGGTAAGTGTGCAGAAATAAAAAAGTCAGAAAAACACCCTGAAAGTGTTAGTATGACAGTGACCATTAACAAAGTTACAATGAGCTTTATACCATTAACAGTATATATTATATACCATTAACAGTATATATTAACAGTAATAGCTTCACTGTTCTAAAAGTCTTTCTATGGCACAGAAAGTGTACTCTTTTATTCTTAACAGACTTGTATGAAAAAGAGGTGTTTTAAATATGGTAACATAACTGTGAAATTGGCACATCAAATATCTTAATTTAAAATCTAGGGAAAAATAATTTATAAGTTGTCTATGAAACAACCTTCAACTCTTAATGCTTCACTTCCAATTGTTCACTCACACGTTCACAATTCTCACATAGTCAGACCACTAAGCTATGATCAAAATGATCAAATACCTGCTGCCTAGAAAAATGAAAGAACAGTCCTGCTCAGTTACATTCTACAATATTTACATTTTGCAAACATTCTTTCATTTCCCTTCTTCAGACAGGACTTGTTTTTTAAGTCACTGTGACGTCTGTCAAACAGGCCCGTTTTACACCTTCCATTTGCAGCTTAAAAAGAAAAAAATAAAATCAATTTCCTGAATGCGAAATGTAGGACCTGAACATATGGGGAGAACTCAGGGGATTCTTTAGCTCTCTCTTTCCCCCTCCCACCATGCTCACGTACCTCAATCTGACTTGCTCTTTCCAAAGGGACTAACTAAGAAGTCCAGATCTATACTACAGAGCTGAGGGACGACGCTCAAGCCCCCAAGGGCTTTGAGTGCAAGGTGCAAGCAGATAGGGGGTTACAATGGGATCCACCTCTCTTGACTCAACCACAGCGAGAGCCGCCAGCTAGTGCCCCAGAGGGAAGACATTTCCCGTTTAGTCCCGTCATCCCCGCCCCGCAATTCGGCCTCCCCCTCCCTCAGCTAGGTCAGACACCCACCGCCCTTCAGAGACATTTGCCTCTCCCCGAGCCAGGTCAGATTCCTGTCTCCAGGGGCCGGGCACCTTGCCCCCTTCCCTCGGCGAGGCCAGCCCCCTACCCACGGCAGCCTCCCCCGCTTACTGGGCAGGGGCACCAGCTTCTCTCACAGCGCCCAGCACGGATGCGTTCCACGTGTCTACATCACCAGGCTGCGCCTCTGCTCCCGTCTCAAAGAGCGAACTATCAAAGCGTAGGTTGATGACGTAGCCGAATCACTGGGCCCAACAGGAGACAAACCTAATCGCGGGCGGATGGGCGCCGGATGTTTCTGCCCATCAGGGTCCGCCATGTTCTGTGTGGCGGATGTAGCAGCACCTCTTCTTTGCTGATCCAGTCGCTGCGAGACGACGAACTCTTTACTGCTAACCAACCAAGACCCCTCCTTGTGAGTTCACTCGGTCTAATCAGACAGGTTGGGGCGCAGTGCCTCACTCAACATGGCGGACAGGACGCTACTTCCGGAAGCTTTTCGCACAGGAGTTCGGTTTCCGGTGGAGAGTGAACACTACGTTTCCCATGGCGCCACCTGGCGGGAGGCTAATGCGCATGCTCTGTGCGAGCCGGGGAGGTGAGGGCGCTGCGCTGTTTCCCTTCCCCGCGGGCCGGAAGGCGGCAGAGAGGGGTTGGAGAGGCTCGCTCCCAAGATGGCGGCGGTGCTGCAGCAGGTTCTGGAGCGGGCCGAGCTGGCCAAGCTGCCCAAGCCGGTGCAGGGGAAGCTGGAGCGCTTCCTGGCCGATCAGCAGAGCGAGATCGATGGGCTCCGAGCCAGGCACGAGCGCTTCAAGGTGGACAGCGGTGAGTGGTGGGGGGGAGCTGGGCATGAGGCGGCGGGAAGGGACAGTGGCGGGGGCTGGGGAGGGCATGGGAGTGAGGGGTGATATTTGTACGGTGCTGTCCACAGTCCGCTGGGCTGCTCCTGCTGCAGGATCCGGACCTGAGTCTGCTGCCAGGCGGGTGGGCTGGGGCCCTCATAGGTGTCACGGGCCGGGGCGAGGGCAGGCCCCCCCCCCCCCCCCGCGGGGCGCTGGGCGCATGATGCTGTCCTGCACCGAGGTTCACCATCACTGAAGTACGGGAGGGGCCGAGTCTCGAGTTGTGCTTGTTTGGCGGGAGGTGGGCTACAATGGACACTGGCTAATCGTCATAACCGAGTCCGAGCCAAGAAGCAAAGGGATAGTGCCAGAGGCAATGTTGCGTGGAGGTCTCATGTTGCTGACATAGGCTTTTAAAATATCCCCCATGGCTTTTACATCTATATAATGGCAGTGTCTGAATATAATGCATTTGTTCTGTGAGGCGGATTCCTTTAATTTTTACACCCTTGTTTTCCACTTGAGCTCTGTGTCGCAGTGTTTGTAAACCACAATAGGAGCCTGTTCTTAATGTGAAGTTACAAGTTATTACTTTACATTAAAACTCTTAAAAATAATCTAAAGTCAAGGGGGATGTACATTCTACTGGAGATTCTTTACCTGCTCTCCAAGTTAGCCAGATGCTTGAGGAAGAGCATCAGAGGTTTGTTTGGTTTACACTGCAAAAACGCACCTGCTACAGTGGGTCTACAGGCCTATGGCACTAAAAATAGCCATGCAGATATTCCCACTTGGAGTCTGAGCCCTAGAGAGGGAGTGGGTTTCAGAGCCTGAGCTCTAGTGGGAACGTCTGCCTGGCTATTTTTAATGCTGTAGTACAAGCCTGAGTCTGTAGACCCAGGCTCTGAGACTCACTGCTGTTTTTGTAGTTGTTTTTTGCAGTCTAGACATCCTCTGAGTGGGCCCAGTCTAGCAACACTTCCAATAAACTCAATGTTTGAGGCTTGAACCTTTCCAGATAATCTGCCATTGCTTGAAGCAAGGCTTTTAAAGGATGGATTGGCGATGATCCATACAACACTTTTGTTTCCTGAGGGCTGTAATACTAATCCAGGGTTTTGGGCTATCTGGTGGTCCCATCTGGCATTATGCTCTTAATATTTTAGAGACAATTACATTATTGATGATATAATCTTATTGCCCTGGGCCCACTCAGGAAGGCAGCATTGTGGCTAGAACAGAGGACTGGGACCCAGGAGACCTGGATTTAATATCTGGCTCTGTGACTGGGTAACTTTGAGCAAGATACTTCCCTTCCTTGTGACTCAGTTTCCTTGTTTGTAAAATGACATTAATGATTGCAGAGCAATTAGAAATCAGACAATGAAAAGTGCTGTCTAATAAGAGCTAAGTATTAGGGGATTGGAGTGGGGGGCAAGAGCATTGTTTAATAATTGAGCATAGGTAAAACAAAGGGTAGAGTCAGGAGTTCATTTCTCAGCTAGGCCAAAGATTTCCTTTTGTAAACTTGCCCTTAACTTTTCTATACCTTAGTTTTGAAATATTATAATAGGGATAATATTCCTGCCCTATGGTGATATTTTTGAACTTAATTCATTACTGGTTGAAAATGTTTTGTGATGCTTTATTGGAAGATTGTAGAAGTATTATTTATTAACATTTTCATAAACAATCTTACTCAATTAAAACTTCTAATCTTCCAAGTGTTTATAGTGGAATTTATCAGTTTAAATAGGCTAGTGGTTATCTGTAAACTTCAAGATTTTCATATACATGCTGGTGGTACATCATTATTTGAAACTGATGTAGTTTAGACTGAGAAAGGTTTACAGTACATATTAAGAAAACAGCACTTATCTAAAAGTCTGCTAATCTTTCTTGCTGTTATTCCAAGAAAATAGTAGTATCACCAGAAATATTATCTCAGATATTTACAAAGCTTTCTGGAACACTAGAGAAAATCTGGTGTGACTTTTATTTCAGTTATAAAGCAATAACCTTTACATATCAGTGTTACTTCTGGTTGTGATATTTTCAAAGTCCATAGTGATGTACCCATACAAAAATGGTTCTTTATCAGAAATCATTGTGGTTAACAGTTTTCCAAGTTAAGACTGTAAGAGCAAATTTACACCCAGTTTTATACTGGTTTAATTGTATTGGTTTAGAAATAAGCTATCCTGGCATAAGCACTTTTGTACCAGTATAACTGACCACACTAGGGAATTGCACTAATTTAGCCATATGTTGCTAAACAAGTACACTGAAATCAGTCCAAAAACTGCAGTAGATCAGACTTTAGGGCAGTGGTCACCAACCCGTCGATCATGATAAACTGGTCGATCCTGGAGCCTCAGTCAGTCGATCGCAATCTCCAGGCCGCTAAAAGTCCAGAGGTGCAGCGGGGCTCAGGCAGGCTGCCTGCCTCCCCTGGCCCCATGCTGCTCTCGGAAGCGTCTGGCTGCTGGTAAGTCTCTGCAGCCCTGGGCGGGAAGGCGGCTCCACACACTACCCCCAGCACCGTCCCCACAGCTCCCATTGGCCGGGAAGCAGGGGCAGCACTTGTGGGTGTGGGCAGTGCATGGAGACCTGCTTCTCGCCCCCTGGGCTGCAGAGACATGCCAGCAGTCAGCTGTTTCCAGGAGCAGAGTGGTGAGCCCCAGTGCACCGTCTACGGAGAGCTGCTTATGATAAGTGCCTCCCAGCCGGAGCCTGCACCTCGCACCCCCTTCTGCATCCCAGCCTGGAGCCCCCTCCTGTACCCCAAACTCCCTCCCAGAACCTGCACTCCTCTCCTGCACTCCAACACTCTGCCCCAGCCTGGAGCCCCCTTCTGTACCAAACTCCCTCCCAGAGCTTGCAGCCCTCACCCCCTCCTGCATCCCAAAATTTTGCCCCAGCCTGGAGCCTCCTCCTGTATCCAAACTCTCTCCCAGAGCTTGCACCCCCTCACTCTCGAACCCCAACTCCCTGCCACAGGCTCAGCCAGTGCACACCCCACAGTTGAGAATGTTACACTGATTATAGATCAAAAATCTTTCAGGGATTGTCACAAAACCACAAATGACGCTAATAAAAAGTAAAACTCATGAAATGTCCAGTGGATTCTATGAGATTAGGTGCAGTGTGACCATGTGACCCCTGCAACCAAACTCCCTCCCAGAGCTTGCACTCCTCTCTCCTGCATCCCAGCCCCTTGCCCCAGGCTCGGGCCAGAGCCTCCTTCCACACTCCGAACCCCTCTGCCCCAGCCCAGAGCTTGCACCCCCTTCCGCACCTCTGCCCCAGCCCGGTGAAAGTGAGTGAGGGTGGGGTAGAACAAGTAACGGAGTGGGGGGGAATGGAGTGAGTGGGGCGGGGCCTCGGGTGGGGTCGGGGTAGATCCTACATTGATTTTAAATTCAAAAAGTGATCTTGTGCGTAAAAAGGTTGGAGACCACTGCTTTAGGGCAATGCACTTGGAGAAATATAAAACACGTCTGACCATAGTAACAAAATTATTTAAACAGTGCTTAACAGTAAATAGCACAATAGCACTTGGCTTAAAAAAATGTTTTTTCTTCAGGGTCTACTGAAAGCGCATTGTTTCTAGTTGCATTTTCTGCTAGATATGGTTCTCTAATAAAAGCTGATTGTGAAGTAGTGTTAACATAATGTGTTTTTCTGCAGAACAACAGTATTTTGAAGTGGAAAAGCGTCTGGCTCAAAGTCAGGAGAGACTTGTAAACGAGACACAGGAATGTCAGACTCTCCGTCAGGAGCTAAACAAACTTAGTAAGTATAACTACACATTGATTAGCAGATTGGAATTTTTTTTCCTGCTTACAATAATTAAATCTTTTGAACTTATTTTGAAATGCTTAAAAATCTAAATAAGAAAGAAAAATCTGTCAACCAAGCTTCTTTCATTTCATAGAAGTTAGTTGATATTTTTGGTTCAAGTCCCTGCTTTCGACAGGCTTCTAGTCTGTTTTACTGGAGTAAACATCTTAATTACCATCTACTTAAGGAGCTAAGGGTTCTACAAACTGATGTGTGCAATGCACATGCATCCCCTTAAGGGTCAGGTTGCAGGATCAGCCCTGAGACACTGATATGTTAGTGGCTTCTCTGATACTCCTTCCTCTGAGTATTGTTTCCAGAAAGCAGATGAGATGGGATAAAACTACTTTTGTTTTTAATCACAAGAGTACCAATTTGGTCAGTGGCTTGTATACTGGATTTTTAATTTTGGGAAAAATTTTCTCTTCTCAGTTTTATATTATTCTAAAGCAGGAACATGAATTTTACCAACTGGATATAACTAATGCACATGTTCTGTTAATACCAAAAAGTTTCCTTAATTTTCCTTCCTTGTCCCTCTCTCCCCACAGATGAGCAGTTGAAATCATTGAATGAGAAAAACAAAGAACTTGAAGTGGCTCATGATCGCAATGCAGCTGTCCAGGTATAGGAATCACTGAGTATGCAAATAGAAAAGGAGTACTTGTGGCACCTTAGAGACTAACCAATTTATTTGAGCATAAGCTTTCCTGAGCTACAGCTCACTTCATCGGATGCATACTGTGGAAACTGCAGCAG